AACCCTAAACCCTAAACCCTAAACCCTAAACCCTAGAATGTAACTTTGACTATGTTTCTATAATTTGGTTTCAAGATTAGTTGAATGTTCACTGTGGTAGTGTGGTTAATATATGATTTTTTGTTCACTGTTGTTTCAAGATTAGTTAATATATGAATTTTTTTTCATTAATGAGCAATGTTAATGTTGTGAGCCGCGGATTGACTATCAAGCATCATTGTATAGAAAGTTCTGAACAAATGCTTATAATTTAGTGGAATAAGTGCTCTACCCGTGAAAGTATCGGATTGAAAGTTCTGAATAAATGTTTATAATTTAGCAAAATGGATCACTCAGAATGCCGTGGAATGTTGTTTGGCTGGTTCAATTAGGGAGTTTGGTAGATGTTGGTATTCTCAAAAGCTGGTAATGCTTATGGTGATATGAAACAGTCAAATAGTATTGAAAAAAAAAAAAACTACAATGATTAAAAATCTGCTAACATGACGAACTAGTTGACAAAAGTAAAGATAAACCTAAAAATGTGATAGCATACAAAAAATTGGCGTAATCTTTATAGAATACCAATTCCAAAAATTCTGCAGGCATTCAAAAGACAAAACTAAACAGAAATTGCTCTATTCCAACGACACATGCCTTGGACGACGTATAGTTAGTTTTGCACGAGCAGTCGATGTAGTAGGCAGTTGATCATCATGTATAATCTCATTACCAATCTCGTCACCTTCCATATTTAATGGATTCTTGCAGGTAATTCTATGATGGCCCCATAAATTACAATGACTACAACTGTGCCTAGGTTTTTGTTTTCTTTCCTATTTCTAAGAAATTATTAATTCGTCTTTTTTTGGGTCTACCATCACTAACTGCAACCCACATCTTCTTCCCTGGCAGGGTTGAAATTGCACCATGATGCACCATTTTGTATCTAATCATTTAACAAAAAAATTATAAAAAAACCAACGTGATAAATAGGTGGCAATTAAACAAGGCTTTAGGAATATACCTATATGGGTAGTAGTGATCATCAACATATACCATAAAGTATGTTGTGTAGTTCCAATGAATGCAACACTGTGTATACAATATAGATCACTTAATTGCCAGAATCCACAACTACAATCCTTCTTTTCTATATCTACCTCATGCCTTTCATGAAGAACCTCAACTTCAACTCTACTTGATGTTGACTATCGAATGATAAAATGCTCTTTCCTTATTGTGATGTCTCTGATGTACTCTTCTACATGAGAAACTAGTTGACCTCTCCAAGAGGAAGAAATTATCTTTCTTTGAGAACGTTGTTCCATAAGCTTTGCCCTAATCATGTCGACTGAATTAGCGACGGGCTTACTTCTAGCTTCTTCAACCCATGCATTAAAAGATTCTGATATGTTGTTTGTATTGTAATGATTTTTAATGTGCTTTGAGAACGTCGCCTTAGACCACTTGCATGACAATGAATTCAAGTAAGAGTAAACTTGTGAACTGATTTTGAAGATCTCCTCAATTTTCATATGCAAATCATGTAGCTTATAAGTGTTTGCGGCCGTCCAAACCAAATTCTGAAGCTTGTTGCCATTTTCCACAGGCGTCTCATGTACACTCTATACTCAGCATTTGGGAAAATAAGTTTTATAGCTTCACCAATGCCCTTCTTCATGTTGGAAATGAAGGCTAAATGTTTGATTTCAACACCAAAACTTTCCAACAAGTTCCTCATGAACCACTCCCATGATTTCTTAGATTTTGGTTCTACAACAGCATATGCTATTGTGTATAGACCATTATTGTCATCCAAATAATTTGCGGATAGCAATACGCCAAGATACTTTGATTTGAGGTGGCAAGCATCAACTCTAATTAAATATCTACATCCAACAATGAAACCTTCAATGCATTCTTTGAAGCTAACAAAGAATCGCTTGAATGCATTTCTTTTGCTCTTACACATATATGTAATGTGAGAGGTAGGATTCCTGTTTATTAACTCTGACCTCGGCATAGGCACCCACATATAGTTATCGTCGACATAGCCAAACATTACATCTCTTGCTTACTCTCTTAATAGCCAAATTTTCTTATATGGCAATGATAATCCATAAGTTGTCTCCAAGTTATTGCTAATATCTTTTGGCTTGATATCAGGATTTTTCTTTACAATGTCCTTGATTTTATGAGCTACCCAACTAGTAGTAGCTTGCTTGTTTCCCGCTCTATTGACCCTAGGGCATAAATGAGGTGGAAATATTTTTCTAACTTCGAAGGAGTGCCCATCATGAGACAATGAGGCACATACTCTCCATGAATAACCTTTGTATGTGCAAGTAACAATGACTCTGGATTTGTCACTAGCCTTTATCGTTATAACATAATTCTTTAAAATTGCATTAGACCTAACTGATGGAAACATCAGAGCATGGAAATTATATCAGAGGCGTGGCCGTCGATCTACGACCACAATCGAGTCTATGTATTTTTGAGTCATTTCATATATTTGTTTTCTTTTATTATGTTATGTAGCTTTTATTATTTATGTATATTTGTTTTCGCGTTTTACCCTTTTCTTAAGGAAGGTCATATGTTAGCCTTAGGGATATTGTCATCCTTTTATTTTTTTTGAGTCTTTTGTACAAGGCTATTTATAGCCCTTATGTTCTTCTTCTAAAGCTAATGAATGATTAATTGATAAAATTTCTTCTCTTTGTTTGAGTTCTCATGAGAGCTTGAGAGATTGGAGTGAGGTCCCTTGGAGAGAGAATTTTGGATCACCCACCAACCTTGGAGATGGCCGGGTTCATGGTTCTTCTTCTTTATCTATCTTTTTTTTCCTTCGTCACCAAGCCGCCGACCTTAAAGTCCATACCACCCCAATAAGCCGCCGACCCCATACAACTCCCACTTGCCATCGGGTAACTTCAACTCCATCTCCACCTCATCCGTCGAATCACAACCATATCACCACCCCACCAAAATTTTCCCCTCACCCATTAAAATGCCGGCCTCATCTCCCTCCACCTCCCTCCAAAATTCAAATCTTTACTTGAATATTTGCCATAAATGTATACTCTTAATTTGGGAAGACTTAATTTCAAATTTTAAAGCAATTTGAATTTGAAAATTTCTTTCCTAATTTAAGAAATCTATTTTAGGAAAGTTTCTAAATTAAAGCTTATTTGAATTTCAAATTCATTTGAATTCAATTAAAGCCTTTCCTAATTCCTACACCCAAATTAAGAAACCCTCAATCCCTCCCATTAATTCCCCCCAAGACCATCAATGCCGCCGGCCCCTATAAAGTTGGATTAGGAATTCTTTCCTAAAACCCAATTCTCCACTTTGGAAACAATTCCAAATCTCATGCTCCCTCCTTGGCTGAAATTTCTAAAGCCTATAACTCCTAATTAATTTCCAAAACCTAACATTAGATTTTGGAAACAAATCCCTCATCCCCACCTCTCCCTCTTCTTTAATTATTCCCAAATATAGGGATTAATTAGAGCATTGTTTGGAAACCTTTCCTGTCCTCCCAAATCAAACCAAATTAAATCCCTCTTCCTTCTCCTTTGGCCGACCACCCTCCTCCATCCCCTCCACCTCAAATGTGAGAGAAACTTCTTTCTCTCTCGTGAGGGTTCAAGGGTTGGCATTGATCTTCAACTACACAACCTTCTTCTAAAGCCAATGAATGGCCGATCCGGAGCTTGACTATGGATTCGCCTACGACGAGCAAGGATACATTAATATCCTTCGTTACCCCTTCTTCGATTTCAACCCAGAAAATTGATCGTTCTATCGAAGAGTACGTGGTCCGCATTATCTTCACGCTAACAGAGGCTATCGACGAGCAATTTGCCGGTGCTCAGTGGCAAATTGTCTCCTAATCTTCCCAAGGGTGAACCTCTTCTCCTTTTCATTTATTTTCATAAGCCCCTAATCTTGTAGGTGGTGACGAGTCACAATGAGCCAGGCTTCACCTTTATGATTAAGCTTAGTAAACGTAGGGTTGATTGTGCCTTTTATGTTCCAATCTTATTGTTAGATTAGGGATTTCTGTTAAAAGCTATTTACTTCGCATATTATTGAAATTCTAACTTGTTTTGATATTCCAAGTGTTTGGCAAGTGGTTTAGCCTAAACGTAGGCACCCCTCTCTTGTTTTCTTTCGTCGTTTTGATTGCTAATAACTTTAATCATGATTGCTTTAAGCAATAAGTTGTGCAAATTCTTATCGTATACATTTAAATATGTTAGTCCTGCATCACTAACTGCTTGCTTGAAACTTTAGGAATCTTCAAACCATGAACCAACATATAGATTATTTGCCTCATCAGTTTGGGGTATAAAGAATCATCGCACATATCATCTAGGATAATATCATTATTTTCTTCAATCTTTGAGCTGAACTGATGCATTTCAGTAACTAGTTGTCTATTTTAGTTTGAATGTTTTGTAATTGGGACATATCTTTATCGTGATATTTCATTGCAACCGTCACCTCAATTCTATTCATTTCATAAGAACTGCTAAGCATGTCAACTACATCTGAATCACTTGAAACCATTATGTAATTCTTAGGTGATGTTCCATTGACATGATAGTGTAAGTCGAATGGTTGATCCCGTAGTCAATGATAAAGTGCTTCAACTCGTTCTTTTAAAAACATTAAATTGATTTCATCTCTCCGAAGCTTTAAGGTTTTCTAATTTCCACCCACATACTTCATTCAAGTTTGACCCTGCACCTCACTCCAATATCCACCAAATTTGAGGGAAATGAAACAAAAATTACTTGAATGCATTTCTATGTATGCAAATAATTAATGTTTTAGCATGAGTGAAAAAAGTGAATCAAATGAGTTACCTGCTCGGGCGAAGAAGAGGCGACGGGTTGTAGGAGAAGCTTTCACACGGGAAAAATCCCCGGTCGGGGTTTCATTTTTGACGGGAACGTTACGGAGTGGCATTTCAAATGTTAGGAATTTTGTTTTTGTGGTATATAAGTAAATATGATAGTTTGAGTATTGAATATGTATTTTTTAATAGTTTGAGGTGTTATGTATGTTAAATTCCCTATTAAAAATTGAATGTTGTTTCAACTCCAAAAAATTTAAGCCATTGGAGCTATCATACCCAATAGTAAGGTGATTGCAATTGGTTTCTAACTTACTCTATAATTCTATATATGGTTTAGCTTTGGTTTTCAAACTTGTTATTTTAAAAATCTCACATTTTTGTTTTCTTTTAATTTAATATCCAGCTGTTTGTTTTGTGAAGTATAATATTAATGGATATGATAGTTCTATGCAGAGCCAACAATCTACTGTAAGTGCAAGGAACTTGTAGAGGAAAAAATTTGATAAATGATCTCATTTTGAGTACTATAATGTTCACTTCTATGGCTTAAATTTTTTGGTGTTGAAATGGCAACTGTTATAATGCTTTGGGTTCTCTACTAAAGCTACTATGCTTATTCGGGCGTTCCACCACCACCACCAACAACAACAACAAGCCTTTGTCCCATTACGTGGGGTTGGCTACATGAATCCTTTTTCGCCATTGTGTACTTTTCCATCATGTCATCTATTTTTAAGAAACAATATAAAGATGTGTCTATTTCCAGTCAACTTATGACACTATCTGGCAGGATAATTAATTGCATTTCTTCTGAAGAGTTTTCTCCTTGAGATTTTTCTACATAACTGGCTAAAAACATGAAACATCATGATTTTAACAAAATCAAGGCTTTCTCAGATTGTATGGTAAGTGGCTTTGGTACTATATAATATCAATTTTTTTCAGTGGAATTTGTTTTTCCATATAGTTTTATATATTGTTTAGCCCGTTACTCGTTAAGAGGTTATAGAGTTATGTTACTTGCCCTTGTCTCTATCATTTTCTTTATGCAACTTTTTCCTTTCAAGTCAGTACACGTTTTAGATATCTTGGATCTATTGTTCAGAGTGATGGTGAAATTGATGGGGATATTATCAGCAGAATTCAAGTTGGATGGTTGAAGTGGAGGAATGCATCGGGCTTATTATGCGATAGAAAAGTCCCCCTCAAACTTAAGGGAAAATTCTATAGGATGGTGGTGAGACCTGCAATGCTTTATGGTGCCGAATGTTGGCCATTAAAAGAGAAGCAAAATACTAAGTTAAGTGTTGCAGAGATGAGGATGCTTAGGTGGATGAGTGGCTTAACCCCTAGAGATAGGATACAAAATTAGCATATACATGAAAAGGTTGGAGTAGCTCCAGTGGAAGATAAGATTAGAGAGAGTTGCCTTAGATGGTTTGGTCACATTAAACGGAGGCCTTCCGGTGACCCGGTTAGAAAAGTTGAGGTATTAGATTTGGCTTATGTTAATAAAGGTAGAGGTAAACCTAAAAAGGCTTGTTTAGAAAATATTAGAAATGATATTTCTTTGTTAGATTTAAATGAGATTTTGACTTTTAAGTGGACACAATGGTGAAAAAAGATTCATGTAGCCGACCCCACGTAGTGGGACAAAGGCTTGTTGTTGTATTAAACTGCAGCATGAGTAGTTAATATGAATTTCCGTAGACTACACGGTCAAGCAGTGTCAATAAGCCACAATGTGCATGATTTCTTAACCCTTGGAAATTAATGAGTTGGAATAGCTTTGAATTTTTAGATGTAAGTAAGTATTTTAGATGAAGTTATTGTTCTAATGATTATAAAGCTAAAGTATTAGATAAAAAATAATATGAATAAAACTATAGAAATAGTTTTTAATAATAAATAGATTTGACAGCTAAATTAGTACTTAACAAATTCCTACTATGTACATCGCTCAACTTGGTCTGTTGGTTAGGAGCTTTGGTTGCCAACCAAGAGGTGTTGGGTTTGAATCTCGTGTATGTGAGTTTGCCTTAATTGGCCTAAATGTTCAAAAAATAAATAAAAATCCTACGATGTTAAATATCAAAGATACTAAAATTTAAATTCATCTTTTAAGTCCAAAACTAATGAATGATGCTAGATACATAAATTTTTACTAAGAATGACTTTACCATCTAATCGATTTATTTTTCTTATAAAAAAATAATCAATCTGAGTTTTGTTATATCTATTTTTATAAATGATGAGATGATCATCTCTTTTCTTAAATAATGTAGTAGTAATTACAAAATCATAATTAGAAGAAAATCTAATATGGTCCTATCACCTTTATTGGTTGCTTCAAACTTATAAAAAAAATAATCAATCTGAGTTTTACTATATCTATTTTTATAAATGATGAGATGCTCGTCTCTTTTTTTAAATAAGGTATTAACAATTACAAAATCGTAAGCTAGAGAAAAATTTAATATGATCATATCATTTTTATTAGTCGCTCCAAACTTGTAGCCACTATGAATATATTTAAAATCTTCTACCGTTATATTAACATGTCCATTTAAATCTCATATAATAAAAAAATTCTTAAATAGATATCATTTGTATTAATTTTCTAAATCATTCTAAAATTTCAATTTTGAACACGAATCCAAATCTATTTAAGGAGCATATGGACTTATAATATTAATAATTTTAACATGAACAATAATATTTAAAGTAATAATTATATCTCTAATTCTATTAATTTTTATAACATTATTCTTGAAACTCCTAACATGACACAATGGAGAAAAATGACTCATATAGCCGACCCCAAGTAGTGGGATAAAGGTTGGATATTGATGTTGTCGTTGTTGTATCCTTGAAACTATTATCTATAATCACACCTACACAATTTCTAGTACTATTCCTACCTGAATACCATAGTTTAAATCATAAACTATCAATCTTCTTAACTTTTTCTCCAACATATTTATTTTCTTGAACATATAAAATATGTATCTTCCCATGAATTATAATATCTATAAATTTCATTATATCTATTGCATGAGAACCTATATTCCAAGCTCTTATCCTAATTCTAATTTTATGCACTAGCTTCTTTGCCTACATTCGTTCATGATGTGGGGACCCTTGCTTATTTAACGGTGCAGTAGTCCTTGCACACTTCTGGTTGTATTCAATCCATACAAATCGCTTACAGGGAATGTCATAACATAAATGCTATGTATTGAAGAATTCATGTTATGATTGTTCATTAAATTTTACACTTATTATTGACTATCTTACCTGACACTTCACTTTTCTTATTCAGGACTTGAGACCCGGCAATGACAATGTTAACTATCCCTACAAAAGAAAGAAAAAGAAAACAAGTCCAATAAGAGAATTTAATTATGAAAAGGACCCGTCAAAGATAGGGGTGTCAATTCGGGTCAACGGGTCGGGTTCGGGTCGAACCCGAGTTGACCCGAATCTAAACGGTTCAACCCGAACTTGACCTGTTTTTGCAAACGGGTCGGACATTTCAACCCGGACCCGATCCGGCCGGGTTGCCGGGTTGACCCGACCCGACTCGCTACCCGGCAGTGGGCGACGCGCGAGGGTTTGGCAGCGAGTGTGGCACTCGCCGGGTCAACCCGAACCCGACCCGTTTTTTAAACGGGTTGAATCTGCGAAACCCGAACCGGACCCGTTTTTCAAAAGGGTTGTCGTGTCATGTCTAATATTAACACCCCTAGTCTAAGACTATGTCATTATACATTTATGTAATATTTAATAATAATAATAATAATAATAATAATAATAATAATAGTATTAATTTAAACAATGTGTGCACTGCACTCCCAATAAATTCCAGCCCTCTTGCCTCTCTTCAAAAGTGGGCAGTGATGTGTTGGTTGTAATTGTTATTGGTCTAAAATACCTGTTTGGAGCTTTGACTTGCTCTATTATTAGATTTTTGACATACAGTTAGAGCAACATAATTTTAAATAGTAAGAGTATAACTAAGAATTAAAAACAAGGGTTATTTTTTTAGGTATTCATTTGCTCTTTCAAATGATTTTCATGTGTAATTATCCTACAATGAGGATATCAAGACATGGAAAATCTATTAGAGGTGTGGTCGTTGATCTACGACCACGATTACATCACGCTACTTATGATTTTCATATTTATGCTTGATGTATTATTTTTTTATTTTATGAAGTTTATTATGTTTTTTTCCTTTTTTTGCCCTTACTTAAGGGCTTAGGTATGTGTAAGCCCTAGGGGCATTGTAGTACTTTTTATTTTCTCATTGTATGGGCTATTTAAAGCCCCCCTCTTCTTCTTCTTTGAGAATCAATGAATGAATTATAAGAAATTTCCTGCACGTGTTCTTTGGAGAGTTGTGAGAGTTCTAGAAGAGAGATTTGGAGAAATCCCTTGGAAGGGAAATCGGATCACCCACCAACCTTGGAGACGGCCGGGTTCGTGGTTCTTCTTCCTTTACCCTTTTTCGTTCCTTTTCCTTTCCCTTCCTCTTTCCCCATTAAGCCACCAACATCCCCATCCAATTCTCTTCCTCTTAGCCACTGGATTCCCTAGCCACACTCCACCTCGCCGCCAGCCAAATTCCCCCACCGCAACCACCAGCCCACTTACCCTAAACTCCCACCCCACCCGCCGGCCCTTCACCCAACCGAACCCAAGCCCAAGCCGCCGCCCCTTCCCCTTTGGGTTTTCCCTCCATCATTGCTTGCAATTACCCCTTACCTAATTGGGATTGAATAATTTAGGCAACTCAACTACTTCATAAATTCAAATTTATTTGAATTTGAAAAGTTACCTAAAATATTAATCCTATTTTAGGAAAGTTTTCAAATCCCTTCATCTTTGAGTTTTAAATTAATTTGGGATGAATTATCTCTTCCCAAATTTAATTCCTTAATTTAAAGAAGCATTATCTCTTCCCCAATTCCCTTGGTGCCGCCGACCCCTCCAAGCTCCCACCTCCTTGATGCTTTCCAAAATAAAACCTCTCATGTGGGAAAGAATTAAATACTTTCCTAATTTTGATCATCTTAACTTTGGAAACAATTCAAATTCCAATTAACTTGAATTTGAAATCCTTTCCTAAAGAGATTTATTTATTTTTGGAACTCTCAAATCCTCTCAAATCTAAAATTGATTAGAGATTTCTCTCTAATTCTCTTTCCCCTTTTAGCAACCCAAGTTTGAAAGGAATTATAAATTACCCAATTAACTCCCCATGCATGCCCCCCCTCTCTCTTTTCTAATTAAAATCCTTCCTTAAATCCTCAAATCAAGCTCTCCCTAACCAATCCCAAATCCAGTCAGCCCCTCCCAAGCCGACCCTGACGTTTCCATCCCGTTTTGGAACTTTTGGCTTGCTGTCTACGCAAATCAGAAGAATTATTTTGTTGTCCTGCACTATTGGAGTTCCTGAATTAGTATCTAAAAGTTCCAAGCATCATCTAGCAACCATCCAAGGTTTTTCTAAGCATTAGAAGTTGGCTTTCCAGCTTTTCCCAAGAACCAAAACTGCAGTAACATTGCTGTCCAGAATTTCTGGACAGTGTCGGGAAGCTGTCCCACTACTCAGAGATCACTGTGTGCTGCCCGGAAGGTTCAGGTTGCTGCCCAAACATGCAAGCCGAGATTAGTTTGCTGTCCACCATCCCGAGATCATCAAATTGTTGTCCTAAGGCATCTAGGAGTTGAGAACTGTTGTCTACTTCCTCTCAAGCACATAAACACCACACCGGAGCTTTGGTTTGTCTTGTCTATTTGGGTGATCTTTTCCCCTACTCTTTTATCTTTTAAATGCTCTCAATTGTAGCTCTAATTGACTCATGGAAAGTTGTGTTAACTCTTCCCGCTAAAGCCTAGTATTTATTAGGAGTTGTGTGAGAGATCTTTCATAGCACTTCTCTTATTGTTAGAGTAGGGATTTCTTGTTGAAACTCATTTCGTTTGCAATGTCAAGAGTAATTGATTGTTATGTGATTTCTACTTCTTGCAAGTAACTTGGCCTAAGCTTGTGTTTACCGCTCTTTATGTTTTATTTCCTTGTTTGAATCACCATAAAGATTTAATTAATTTGATCTTACTCATTAAGCGTGCAAAATTCCTTATCTAAATCAAATTTTCATGCATGTCCTACATCACTATCTCTTTCAAAAATCATCAAAGACTATGTCATTATATATTTATCATCTGTAACATTTATTAATAATAGTATTCATAATAGTAATTGTAATAATGAAAATAATATTATTAATCATCATCATCATCATAATTATTAATAGTAATTATTATTATTATTATTATTATTATTATTATTATTATTATTATTATTATTATTATTATTATTAATTTGTTAAATTTGTGTGTGTGAACTCCCTATGAATTCCATCCCCATGCCTCTCCTTATAAGTGGACAGTAAGTTGGTTGTAATTTCTGTTGGTCGGATGTACTTACTTGGATCTTGAATCGCTGTCATAGATTTGTGACATAATTAAGGTTAACATCACTTTAAAGAGTTAGCGTATACATAAGAATAAAAAAAAGGGGGTTATTTTCTTAGGTGTGCTTTTGCTCTTCAACAGATTTCCATGTGCAACTGCCTCACAATTATCTCTTTCACAAATCGTCACTATTTGTAGTTTTAATCTTGGGGATACTCTTGCTATTTAGACCAATTCACTCCCTGGCCCCTCAATTTGTATGCAAGATGGGTTGAAAGTTCTCTCCTATATGGGCTCCCGCCACAAATGAAAACTCGATTATGGTACCTAGTTATTCTTTTTCTGATCAAACTAACCTTTATATATTTTATGTTTGATGCATTCTACTTTTCTACATTATATTAAGGCTTTTGATTACTTGCATTATTCTGTTATTTTTATTTAGAGATTGGCACAAGGACGTTGAGGCTCTTTTCCAACATCTCTTTCTGTAATTAATACTATCACATTTTTAGTAATCATATGCAATAAGCTAAATTAATTTTTTTCTTAAATGAAATGAAATATAGCAATCTCAGGATGTTTGTATTCTTTAGGACTTCCTGGTGCTTGTTATTTGTAGTTGTATGTTTATCTCGGTAATCCATACATATAAGATTTTGTGTGGCCAAATGTAGGGCTTGCTTTCGCTCCCCTATACTTCTACAATGGCGGAGTTCGTGAATTTCTTGCAACTTTGAAGCAGCACGTGTTTGTTGTTAGGTTTGTATGTTAAAACTTTTTTTCAACCTTAACATATTAATTGTATAATTTCTTTTGAAATGGTCTTATTAAGTTGTTTCCATCTTAATGACTTATTACAAAAATTTAAATACATGTGGTATTGAGAAGAAAATCCTTCTTGTTTATATTATTCACTAGAGACATCTATTTACATTAGTTAATTATAAGCATATCCAAATTATAGGCATATCCAAATTAGAAAAAGGCAACTAATTGAATTTAATTTATTATTCACTCGCTCAAAGTTTTTGACGAACCTAACATGAAGGTTTCCACCATAAAGCTTGTGTTTGAACCATAGACATAAGGAATCATGATTTTTTTTAAAGTGATAACCATTTCTAAGTTGATAATGTATATTGTAACATTATGATTACAACACAAAACTATTGCTGTGTAACAAGCAAATCAACTTCTCAGAGAAGAGTCTTTACCCATATTATGTTTTGCATATAAAATGGGGAATAGCTTTATATTCAACCTCAACGTTGGATCTTGTCATAATACTTTATTTCTTACTTTTTTTTAATGATTTTTTTACCTCTAATAAAAATATTATATTAAAATATTAACTTTGTGATCAACAGATCTGGCTGAATTGACCTCTGGGAATGCTTCCTTACTTTAGTACTCGCTTTTAATACATAATGGCCTTTTTCTAGTGAACTTTTTAATTGCATAACATGATTATCTCCCAATGCTTTTGTTTCGCAGTTTGCATGTTTTGGTTTACAACTCCAACATCAAATGAAATGCTTGGCCTATCGATAGCTAGATAAATCAGTTTCTTGGACAACCTTTGTATCAAAAGTTTTTGGGACATAGTTAAAGTTTTTTCTTGATTTCACCCCAAAATAAATGAGTGGACATAGGGGAAATTTGCTTCATTGACTTATTGATAATAGTTTAGAAAATTGAAAATTATTATTATTTATGGCTAAATTTATTACAATAGCCCTGGTAACACTACTATGGGAAAGTGACCCTTTAAAGTTTTGCATGAGATGCAACCTAAAGCGCCTAAGACTTTTATATCATTTTCTTTTCATGCATATTTTGATTCTATTGCATGATTTGCTGATTATGTACTTGAATAACATTTTGACGTTAAAACATAAATTGATTTACTAATTGACAAGTATAAAACTATGATGAATATTTGCACAAATCTCATGAAAATAATGAAGATGATTATGTGTTTGATGCTTCTCTTCTAACTCCTTTATGAAACTTCATGCCCAATCCTCTGGTTCATAAAAAAATACTTAAAAAATGTGGATCAAATGCATATACTATTGATTTTCCTATCGACATAAATCTTATTCCGTTTTTCAATAGTGAGATATTAATACTTGCCAACCTATCAAATTTTCAACATATAGTATTTCTACGGTAGGAGTTTATGCATCCTTTCTAGAAGCAACAGTTTCAATCTTGCCACTAGCCTTATACTAGTCCAAATTGTTGAGCAGGTTTTTCAGATGAGGTTGTATTTGGTAGCTTCTTTGTGTGGGCAATATTATTTTATTCTATGGTGAGGTCATTCACCTTTAGATGACTCATGGGTGACTTATGAGGAGCTTCAATGCATATCTCCCAACCTTCTTGATGAGTACCTTTAGCTTGATTCTTCTAAGGAGAGTTCTTGACACCCCAAGGGAGTTGAGACAGCTATTCTATTCGAACTAATGTTACATCTTGATGGAGAGATTAATTAAATATTTTTTTTTATTTTGAGTTCTGTATAATATTGATATTGGGATTTTATTTTATTTGGTTTATTTTTGGCCTTAAAGGATTCATGTCATTATTATTCGACAAGTTTTACGCTGGCTGTCGAGTACCTAACACAACCCTCAACTTTTCTCATCCAGGACTTGGGACCTGGCAATGAAGGGTGGAAATACTGTTGGACCTGATGATATTTCAATAGAGGTGTGGAAATGCTTAGGAGATGAAGGAATTTCTTGGCGCTTACTAAACTTTTTAATATTGTTTTGAAGACTAAAAAGATGCCAGATTGTTTTGAAGACTAAAAAGATGCCATATGAGTGGAGAATGAGTGTGTTAATTCCTATTTGTAAGAATAAATGTGATGCACAAGATTGTGCAAATTATAGAGAAATTAAGTTAATGTGTCATACTCAAAACTATGGAAGCGAGTTATGGAGCATAGGTTGCGGCATGATACTAATGTTTCTCAAAATCAATTTGGATTCATGCCGGGTAGGTCGACTATGGAAGCCATACATTTATTAAGAGGTTTGATGGAGAAATATAGAGAAAATAGGGATTGATTTAGAAAAAGCATATGATAAAGTTCCAAGATAAGTGCTATGGAGAGTTCTTGAAAAGAAATGAATTAATAACGCTTATATTCAAATCATTAAAGATATGTATGCATGAGCTATTACTTGTGTTCAAACACAAGGTGGTTTGACCAATGATTTTCCTATTTCGGTTGGGTTACATCAAGGATCAGCCTTACGCCCATATCTTTTTGCTTTAGTCATGGATGTTCTCACTAGACATTTGCAAGAGGATGTACCTTAGTGTATGCTTTTTGCTGATGATATTCTTCTTGTTGATAAGACCAGAGAGGGAGTTGAAGGTAAACTTGAATTATGGAGGTCAACCTTAGAGTCTAAAGGTTTTCTCTTGAGTAGATCTAAAACGGAATATATGGAGCGTAATTTTAGTAGTAATAGACCTAGTGAGGGGACTGTGACTTTGGGCGATCAAGTCATTAATAAAAGTACACGTTTTAGATATCTTGGATCTATTATTCAGAGTGATGGTGAAATAGTTGGGGATATTATCAGCAGAATTCAAGTTGGATGGTTGAAGTGGAGGAATGCATCGGGCTTATTGTGTGATAAAAAAGTACCCCTCAAACTTAAGGGGAAATTCTATAAGATGGTGGTGAGGCCTGCAATGCTTTATGGTGCCGAATATTGGCCATTAAAAGAGAAGCATAATACTAAGTTAAGTGTGGCAGAGATGAGGATGCTCAGGTGGATGAGTGGCACCCTTAGAAATAGGATATGAAATGGGCATATACGTCAAAAGGTTGAAGTAGCTCCATTAGAAGATAAGGTTAGAGAGAGTCGCCTTAGATGGTTTGTTCACATAAAACGGCGGCCTTCCGATGACCCAGTTAGGAAAGTAGAGGTATTAGATTTGACTTATGTTAAGAAAGGTAGAGGCAGACCTAAAAAAACTTGGTTAGAAAATATTAAAAATGATATTTCTTTTTTTGATTTAAACGAGAATTTGACTTTTAATAGGACACAACGGAGAAAAAAATTCATGTAGCCGACCCCACATAGTGGGATAAAGGCTTGATGTTGTTTTTGTTGTTGTTGTTGGTTTATTTTTGGCCTTATTATTTTTATTGGGATTTATTTTCTACTAAATGTGTTGTTTTTTGCTTGATAAGGACCTCTAAGGCTAATTAAGATATTAATTATTGAATAAAAGTTTGAGATCTATTACAACCGTGTCCTATTTATAATTGAGGAATAAGTACAACGTGCCAAGGTACGATAAAATAAACCTGCACCATTTACCAGTACATATAGAGTTCTGTACTTAGATTAAAAATTTTTTACACGAGCGCATATAAATGTATTGGCGTGCATGTAAATTTTTTTCTGTAAGATTTTGTTTTTCACGAGCTGTTGAGGTAGATTTCTTAATGTGGCAAATGATGTTTTCAGGTCTGCAGATGACCCAAACGTTTTTTTGTTGAATGATTTTCAGGATCCTCTTCAGGTGCACACTTGACTCTGTCTGGATTCTACAGCTTGTAATTAAATATTTACTATCTTTGTTTTCTAAAATCTCAATTCCATTATGCTTAAGTGCTTCACTTTCATATTAATATTTTCTAATGTAAAAACAGTTATATGGAATATCATTTTAGCGTCATTTCTTGCATTCCTGTTTCAATCAAGTGTACACCAAGTTAATCTTAATTGCTTCATTTTCATCTTTAATATTTTTTCTTTTGCAAAAGCAGTTTTTTGTATTCTCATTTAAGCAGCATTTCTTTCGTTTCTCTTTTTATTGATCAGCTATCACAGTTTTCTTTTAAGGCCGTATCAACTGAAGCAATTCAGTTAAAATGAATTGAATGGTTCAATTTAAGCAATTTGAGTAGTCTCGGTTTAAAAATTGAGTGAACAAATATGTATGCATTTTTATGTATATGGAGCTACAAATGAGCACTCAATAATGTTATAATTGTTAATAATGAAGGGTGTGATTGGTTCAAGTTTTGTGGATTTTTTTCATATAGAAATTGTTTTGGCATATAAGAAGGGAAAAGTTTGTAAAACTCTAACATAACCTGGCATGTTGTATTTACGAGTTAGTTACCAAAAGGGGACATACAAGTAAAATCTAATGTTCAGAAATGAGAATGATAATGTTGGACGATGAGGCAAACTTAGGAAGGAGAAAGTTTTAAATGATTGTGAGAGAGTATGGAAGACAAACATAGTCCATAAGATAATATAGTACATGATAGTATAGTTTTGGCATGAATAAATATGAGAAGAAGATTAATGTGCACAAAGATGCGGGGTACAGGATTAATGTTAATTTGCTAATAGAAAAGGGCCACGAAAAGATGCATGGTTAGAGTTATTTTAAATGTTTTATCTAAGCTAATTGTAAAGCTTTATTAGCTCTAAATATCAGTGATTTTAATTTAATTATAAAGAACAAGGATTGTGAGTGCAAGTGAACCATACCGGAAAAATAAATGCTTTGTTCATGGTCCTCACTCCAGAATACTCTTTTTTACCAATTTTGTTTTAAGATATTCCTAATGTTACATTAATTATCAAAGCTTTCTCCATATGATATATGAGCGAAAAATCAGTAACCATTTGCAAAGCATCGAATTACCTCATCCACCAAGTGTAAAATTGTAATATTTTGAACCGACGAAAGCCGGCTTTGTACCTAGAATTGAAATAAAGAAGGGACGAAGAAGATGAGGGAGGCGAAGGGATAGAGATTTTCATAGTCGAGTGAAGGAGCCAAGCGAACTTCTGGTTTCTTCGCCTAGAGTCGTGTTCGTAGAAGACGAAGATGATGAAGGGCTCATCGATTCGCTACAAGGTGTCGAGCCGTTCTATCATGTGGAAGTTAATGGGACGTAAAGCACGGAAGAGAGAGAATCTGTTATTGCCGAGCATCGAGGATGAAGAAGTCGTCTCATTATCAACGAAGGAATCGAAGGGGTTTTCGGCTATTAGGATCGCGAGTAGTCACCAGAGGGAGTCGAAGGGGAAGCTCCATTTCTTTGAATTGCTATAAAGATGGGAGTTGTGAGGTGAGAGGGAGACGATGAGAGATTGAAAGCAAGATTGAAATCGAGAGGGAGAATCAATTTGGGAAGAAGAAGACTGTGTGCAAAATGTCAAGAAGTGGGAAGGCACATGCATGCTATTCGTGTCGACGAGAAGAGCAGCGACAAGCGAATATGTTAGATTTTGTATGATATTGTTTTGTTATTTTGTAATTTTTTGTGATTATTTCTAGGAATCAATATTAGGTATTAATGAAAATTTATAATTAATAATATAATTAAAATAGGAATTAATTAATAAAGGAAATGTTTAGATTTTCAAATAGAAACTTTATAATTGATTAATGCGAAAATTATCATATTTGATGTGAGCAAAACTAGAGTAAAGAGACAAATTGGAGAACACCATGACAAGACTTAAACCAAACTCAATTCATATGTAGCTTGCAAACATCCAAACAAACTTAGGAGAAACAAAAGCCAAATCGAACAAAACAAAATAAAAACATAAAAACGCTATCCTCAGTAAAACCGTCTAGCGGTCTCCTCACATGCAACGAAAGTAGGAAATTTAAGAAAATTGTGCTTGGGCTTGCAAACCAAGGGTCTACCACTGCAAAAGCGTCCAACGTTCTTTCTAAATTCCTTCGGAAAATGTCTCCAAATTTCAGCAAACGTACACTTCCAAAGCTCAAGAAGAAGGATACAAGTGGAGTGGAACTTTTGTAGAGAAGGGGTTAGAAGCCAAGACGAAATAGAGATGAGGAAAGGGGGGATAGAACAAGCTCTCAAGCTTTTCCAAGAAGAAACCCTCCGTTTTTTGTAGAGATTTTTTCTCAGATTTTCAACAACCTTTTTCATGCCAAAACATCTCCATTTTATAAGCAAAAGAAGGTAGACAAATAGCCATAACACCTCCAACCAAATCCAATAAGAATTAGGGAAATGAAAGGCCAAAAGTCACCAATTAGAAGGCCAAAAGACAGCAAAAACTGCAGCAGAAATTCTGCATAGAAAAATAGAGAAAACTCACGGAATTCCACCCCAAACAACCACGGTAAACAAGCCAGCAAGGGACCCGAAAAGCCAGCACATGAGGCAAAGAATCAGGTCACGAAAAACCAGCCAGCAAGGGGCCCGAAAAGCCAGCACAGGAGACAAAGTGGCAGATCACGGAAAACCAACCAGCAAGAGAAAACCGAGAAGACAAAGAAAGAAGAAAAGGCACAAGTCCACTCCATTGAGCTCCTCAATAATAAGCTTGAAAAAAAGCATACCTTTTTTATTTAATGAGTTAGGAAGTGCATTTAATCTCTAATCAATGAATTAAACTTCAGCTCAACATTTATGAGCTAACACCAAGTAGAATTCCAGCATTTTGAGCTCAACACTAAGCAACCAAGGCCCACCCGGGAGCAGCAACTTCACCAAACTGAAATTAGCAAGCAGTCTAAGTACGAAATGGACCCAAGAGTAAGCAAACCCAAGGCTTTGTCATGCCTAGCACATTCCTACCATGATCATTGGAAGCTCAACCATCATAGGATAGCTTAAAAACATAAAACTCAGCTAATATTGTTCAAAATACATTAAAACAAAAATAAACTAAAAATATTGAATGCATCAATATTTTAAACCTAAGATTATACTTAAAATTTTAAAAATACTACTAGCAAATTTTAGTTTAAAAATAAATAAATAATAATAATAAAAATAATAAATTTTAAGTGATAAATACTGATAATTTGATTTCAAAGTTAATTATTAAAAATAGTTAATGGTGTAGATTTTGATATGTATATATAAGAGCAAATTATGAGATTTATAATAAAATTTAATTTATTTTAAAAAATAGTGATTTTTCATCTAGCATTAATTTAATTTAAGTGATAAAAAATAAATTGAATATAAGAACTCTTTAGGTATATTCAATAGCTAATTGTAGACACAGAGAGAGGACAATTTATATTGTATAAAAATAGTTTTAAAATTTTAGTTATTAGTGTCACTACTTGGCCCGGAAGCTCGATTTAATGATGCAGGAACAAACGGTCGAATGGTAGATTAAAATTTTTAATTCATCTAAAACTATCTTATTAAACTTTGAAAAAACGATTAAAACTTCAAATATGAGCATAACTTGATACAAAAAAATCATTCAATTACTTTTCATTCAGTGTCTCATGTCTACGGTACATATTTCTGCCTCTTCTACTCATTTTGATTGATTATAATAAACTTACCTAAAAAAGTTAGAGCAACTAATAGTAAGCCATAACTTAATGAGTAAAACATACATTTAAACTATAATAACTCAAGATAATTTGAAAATAATATGCATAATCTTTTAATTATATCAGTTCATTTTGAGACTTTTTTATTTCATAACTTTCAATGTTAAACATAAATCATTTTTTTCATAGATATCATATATGTATTCATATCATTGTCATTTATCATAAATAATACAACCGTTACAGGAGCCATCATCTAATTTAGTATCAATGAAAATACTCCTTTACTATTTTCTTTTCCTTTTCATTTTTAACGTGCACGGGTACATTGCGTCCTCAGCTAGTACCATAAGGCATGTGCTCAATTAGTCAACATGCACATGCAAGCATACTATATCATATCATTTCATTTTACATTTTTTCATATCATTTCATATTGAATTTTATAATAAACATCATGATAACATAAGAAAATGACTAAATCCTACATTTTTCCTTTCTAACTCATTCGAATTACCTAACTAAATTAAAAATGATTTTGATTTTCGTTTTATCCTAAAGCCCTAAATTTGAAAACCAAATTTTCATATTTCCATCACCAATTTATGCAAAAATATTCCCCTTTCCCAAATTAATAATTAGGCATAATGATTTTTGAATTTTCTTTAATTAAAATTTAGGGAAAATAAAAAAAACTTGTGATAAACCTAATTTTTACTTTTAAAAGCATTCCTAAAGCTATTAAGAATAATATTTATGAAATCACTTTCAAAGAAATTACGTTTTGGAAAAAGCCTGATGTAGGACTACATGCAAAAATCGGAAACTTGCACAAAATATTTTGAGAACAATTTCAGATTTTCGTTATTTGTGATTAAAACAACAAAGTAAAACTAATAAACGGTCAATTCCGTTTAGGCTAAACTACGCAAGATGCTAAACGAAATAAAAACACGTGGGAAAATAAAGCATTGCATGCGGGGTAGTTTCCAACTTAAACTTTGTTTAACAAAGAGATCCAAAAGCAAAGAAGTAACAATTCCTACGAATACTAGTGGATGGCGATAAATAGACACAATCTCTTGCTTGAACAATTTCTCACGAAGAAAGTAGAATTTGAAAGTAAATGAGTCAAGGAAGAAAATCACCTTCTCGGAGAAACGTCGTAATTCACCACGCACCTTCCAATAGCTACTCCTTCAACGACGACTACGGGAGGA